ATATAGTGTGTGATACCTATAACAAATACATATTGGCTAACAGATTAAAACAATTCCTACCGGTGTTAGATTGCCGTGGCACTTTACCCCAAGTCTAAATGTTGCGTTGAAAGTCTCAAGAATCCCTTTATAGAGCTGTTTCTGAGATGCTGTATTTCAGGCAGAGTTTTATTGACATTTGGAGGAATGTCAGATATGCTCCAGCTGGGACCGCGAGGAGTGAGTTGGATGCAGCCGTCACTGTGTGAAATGTTATAGTCGGGGTTATGCAGGAGGTCAGATTAGATGATCGTAAAGGTCCTTCTAGCCTTGAAATCTGACTCTTAAGTCCCTGGTATGCATGATTTGGGGCATTGTCTAGGCCCAGGGCCCTGGTACTCTCTGGGAACACGGGTAAAACACAAGTGCCATTTAGCGTGGAATAATAGGTTCCCCGGCATAGTTGCTTTTACTGGGATGTTAGAAAGGAGGTGACATACCCAGCTGCTTGGGAGAGGCCTGAGAAATGCCGTGAAAGACACTAAACACTGAGAATTTAAGCCGTAGCGCTTTACGGATATTCAGAGCGACAGATTTTGCAGAAGCAGCAACGGGGGGGAAGGACTTAAATCTTTCCCTTATAGGCAAGATCATCGGGGTGATGATCCAGTTATAATCCTTTTCCTCAGACTAACCTCTATCCACTGAACTGCCCTATTGGAGATGCTCAGCAGATGGTCTGGGAAGATTCAGTAGTGGGATTACTGGCCTGCTCAGGAGCGGAGCTGCACTGTATGTCAGTTCTATCTCCTTGTGCGCTGAGGGCTCTGCTGGTGGGTTTAGCTTCAGTGGCAGTGATGTTTTTCATGCAAATGCTGGATGATGATCTCTGGACTCCTAGGAATCGATATGAAGGGATTGAATATGTTGTGATTTGCATTGCAGGTGTGCGATGAGCCTCAGGAGAGGAAAGATGGTCCATTGGGTAGGGTGCTAGCCTGGGACTTGATTTGGGTTTGAACCCTGACTCCGCCACAGACTTCCTGTGTAGCCTCTCTGGGCCTCACTTCCCCTTCTGTACAATGGGAATACCTGCCCTGCCCTGCCTCACAAAGGTGGGGGAGAATCATTATGTTAGAACATGAGGCACTCAGCTATTAGGTAATGGGAGCCATATACGTACCTGTGCACTGAGCAGGACCCCAGTGTGCTAAGCACAGTACTAACGTATTATAGTAGCGCTAGAGATCAGGGCCCCCACCCGCCAGGTGCTGTACATTCACACAGCGAGAGACTGCCCAAGAGGCCATAGAGTCTCAAGAGACAAAAGGTGGGTGGGGAAACTGAGGCAGGGAGAGGGACGTGACTTGCCCAAAGTCACCGGCAGAGCTGGGAATAGAACCTGGGTCTCCTGTCTCCCAGACCAGTGCTCTGTCCACTAGGTATTCCTGGCATCTCCAAATATATGGCTTAAACTAACGGACGAGACTAAGGAATCTCTCCAAGCCTGTCTAAATTCTTCCATAGTCCCGTCTCTATAGTATCTGAGCATCTCACATACATAAATGGGGTTGCTCTGCTAACACTCCCTGTGCGCTAAGAAAGTGTTCTCCCTATTTGTGCAGAGGGGGAACTGAGGCACAGAGAGACCCAGGGCCATATTTTCAGAGACACTGAGCACCCGCAGCTCCCCTTAACTACAGCTAGCTCAGCATATCTGAGAATCGAGGCCTAAGGTGATTTGCCCAAGATCATGCATGCAGTCAGAGGCGGAGCTGGGAGCCCCCCCCCACCCCCTCCGCTCCCAATTCCCACAAATCTACAGCCTGATTCTGCAGTCTTGTGCTGTACAGATACCTTGGCAGGGACTGCGAATTCTTCACCTTGTTTTCATTTTAAACGTTTTATTTCTGGGAGCAATTATGCAGCCTTGTGCAAGCGCGCCTTGCTTGTCAGCTCAATAAGGACAAAGAACATATGTTAGATCGTGGGCTGCTTGCATGTATCTTCCACAGTGTAGTGTGTGTATAGTGTCGCAGTTGCGGTTTGCAAGGTGTTGGGACAGCTGTCCTGTCTGTGTGTGTGTGTTGTGGGGGAAGAAGGGAATAACAGAAGGCGTTGTTGTCTGCATGATAGTAAAAACGTAACAGGGGGCTTTTGCTTAAACCAGTGTTTTCCAAAATGAGAGCACAAAGGAGACTCTGGGGATGTGTGTATGGACGGACCTCTCCGTTGTTCTCCAGGGTCTCAACTTTTCTTTTCTTTTCTTTTTTTTAAAGTAAGTCTCTAGTTTTTAGACTTGAGAGGGAAACCTTCAAGGTGTGAACTGAGTGTAACCGATGGGGAGAAGCCTGCCTGAATTTGCAGAGAGCCTGAAACCATTGCTCAGATGTGCGAATTGCCCATCCAGTGGGGGCTGACTCAGATGTCAATGGTGATGTGTAAGAAAGAAGAGGAAGGACCGTATGAAGATTTATGCCAGTGGTTCCCCAGGGTGGACGTGGGAGGGTTGCAAGTGGGATGCGATTGGTTTCATTTCCTTGTTTGGGGCGTGGGGAGGACTCAGTTTTCAGAAGTTTGGGAAATGCTGGGTTCAACCCCAGGATCTGAACCTGGGTGGCCCAACAAGTTAGAATAGGGGATGACCACCCGATCTTTTTGTGGCTAGACGGGGGAGGGTAGTCCTGAAAGTTTTGTTACAGAGGGGAAAGGGTGTTTGTGTGAAACTTTTATTTCTTTTGTAACAGAGCAACTGTATGTTAAAGGACGAGACCAATGGATATTTTAAAAAATCATTTTGAGTGAGTTCGCCCTTGTGCCAGATTCTGTGAGCAAATGGGATTTGTTTCCACACAGAGGCCAGGCAGGGGTGGAATCCGGGGCCCTAAGCTTGGAACTTACAAGGTGTGTGTGCGGGAGAGAAAGTTTCAGAAAGTGATCAGCCTGTGGGAACAGGGGCTTAGAATGGAAACTCTTATGCTGCATTAACTCTGGGCACACGTGCAGAGCATTCTCGCGGCGATACCATGTGCTTCCCACGGCTGGCTGGCAGTGAGCCCTTGTTACTGTTTGAGGAAGCAGGTTTCTGTCTTTTTACTGGGGAGGCAGCTTGGAATTACCCACGCGGGAATCTGACCTGGGCACTGGGGTTAACACCCTGGGCCCCATGGCCCCAAATAACCATGTTCTGTTTTAATGGTATCTCAGTAGCCCATTGCTGAGACCCGCTAAGACACGGCCTCCTTGTGCTAGGCGCTGCCTGTTCATGTTGCGAGAAACTGTCCCTGCCCCCGAAGAGTTTGTGCTCCAAATAAACAAGTCCAGGGAAGGTTTATTCATCTCCTGGCCTGTGGGGGTGAAGCGCCTAGCCCAGGTCTCCTGCATCCCGGTGCCCCGGCCACAGGACCTTCCCTCCGCTCTTCAAGCCCTTTGTGGGTGTTAGAAAAAGAGGCTGCGATGCCCCATTGATGCTAGAGAAGAAGCCTGAATCTCTTTGTCCTTCTGTCCAGCGTTGCTCCCTGATTGCTTTGCAAAACACCAGCATGTGCCGTTAGCAACGGGAACAAATGGGACTTGGAGGGAGTTCAGAGCCAAGCCGCCAATGCAACGATTAAGGGGCTGGCGGGATTGACTTAAGGGGGGAGGGGAGATTATCCCCTACCGGTGCCTGGCTTTGGAGGAGTGCAAACACCAAGAAGGGGTGAGTGCTTTGGGGTGTGTAACCCGTAGGAGGTATGGGATGGAACTAACAAAGGGGAGTGTCGGTTAAGGTCTGTTAAGCTGTGAAGTAGTATCCCAAGGGACGGGGTGGCGTCTCTTAAGAGCTAGGAGAATATTGTAAAGGGGAAATTTGCTCTCCTTGTGTTTGACTCTGTATTCTAGGTATGGGGGCGCTATTGTACATTCCCTGAAGAGCTTACCATCTACATAGGCAAAGCATAAGGAGAAACCGAGGCACGGATTGGGGACGTGACTTGCCCAAGGCCATACAGTGAGTCAGTGGCAGAGCCGGGGATAGAGCCCAGGTCTCCCCCGTCTCAGTCCATCCTCCTGCCTGTGGGGCTGCCCTCTATTTGTCCTGCCCTTATGTTCCCAGGGGTTGGCTTTGGTTGGTGGAGCCAAGCATGGGCTGGGATGCAGCACAGGGCAGGCTCCCTGCCTCTGTACTCTGGGTGCCGTTGGCTGGAGACGCAGTTTCCTGGTAGAGATTGGCGTCTCCATGTGAGAGCGAGGAGGGCGTGGGAGGGAAAAGTCAATTGTAACGATATTGGAGCTGAATTACAAAAAGAATAAACTCTTCTCCTCAGGGCTTTGGGCGCATTGGCTGCTGGGTTTTTTTTCCCTCTCTGTGCGGTAGACGAGCTGCAGAACAATTGATTTCTCAGCCGAGGAGTTAGCCTTTCCCCTCGAGAGGTCTCCGGTTTCCTCTCGCGGGGGATCTGTGGCCCAGTCGTGCCCATCTCCGGCTAAGACCATCTCCCAGGCAGCGAGCCAGAGAGCAAATTCAGAGGCTCGAGCCTCCGTGTGTGGGGAGTTAGTGTGATTGCTTGTGCTTGACGGTCTACCTGCAACCGCCACTCAGGGCCATTGTAGGGGTCCCTTATACAATCCCCCTCTTCACCATAATGACCTCCACCTTCCTGGCCTTAGTGCGCCGTTGGCCTCCCTCTGAAGCATTAGGTGTTGGCCACAGGATTTGGCCAGGCCATTTCATGGACAGCAAAATGTCCATTCCAGGCGATCTCTTCCTGCCTGAGCAGCGCATGGGTGGCTCTATAGATTGCAGGCCCGCAGTGTCTGAGAGCAGGGCAGTGCTGTGTGTACAGATGGGAAACTGAGGCACGGATCTAAATGACTCTCTTGAGGTCCCCCAGGGCCTCTGTGGCAGAGCTGGCATCCCGGAGTAGCAACTGAACTGCTGGGCAGCCCTTCCTCTCAGTGGTGCTTCGGGTGGTGAGATTTCTCCGGGTGCCTCCTCGTCTCTCACGCCAGCTGGTGCCCTCTTGTCTGTGTCTTTGCAGCTCCCCTCTGAACTCTGCCCTCCGCAGACGCTGCTGCTTTTCCCACCAGGACTGCTGGTCCCAAGAGCCCGCACCCACCTGTGCTTTGAGATCGAGGCAAGCCATGGCTCTGACCCAGAGGGACTCCGCCGCCCGCATCCTGCTGGCTGAGGAGAAGTTGCTCCAGAGAAAAGTATGGGGTCCCTTGGAGGGAGGGTACCCCAGTAAGGGCACTGCTCTCCCTGCCAGGACGGGAGGGAGCTGTAACCCAGAGGAGGGGGATAAAGGACACTGAGTGTCACTCCCGTGTATCCAGATGGGACTGGCACTTGGGATCTATTCAGATCATAGAATATCAGGGTTGGAAGGGACCTCAGGAGGTATCTAGTCTAACCCCCTGCTCAAAGCAGGACCAATCCCCTGACAGATTTTTGCCCCAGATCCCTAAATGGCCCTATCAAGGATTGAACTCTCAACCCTGGGTTTAGCAGACCAATGCTCAAACCACTGAGCTATCAGTGGGAGTTGGAGCAGGAACGATCCTAGGGGCTGCAAAGGCTCCAGAGCCTGCGGTGAGCGTCTGTGTTATTGCAAGAGGCACCACATGACAGCGAGTGCTGAAAGCCTTCGGTCTCACTGGCTGGATGGGTCCTTAATCCAAGGCTCATTCTGTTGTAGATGAGGGCTGAGATTTTCTACGTTGCCTAAGGGGTTTAGCGTCCACGTTCCCATTCAAACAAAGGGGAATTGAATATCCAAATCCACTTGGCTTAGCAAGCCTCATACTTCACACCTAACAACCAGGGTGAGCGGGATCCTCTGAGACCAAAGAGGGGGCAGCAGGCCTGTTGGGACCCTGCCAGGGAATGAATTTCCCTGGGCCAGGCCATTTCCACCCAGAGGGGACAGACGAGTTGTCCCACAACGTCCTGCGGCAGGGAGCCTAGAGTGCCGCCGAGGGTGCCGGCTGCTATGAACCATGGGCTATGTCCCCAGAAGTCTTTGTGGCTGGGTGCAGCACCAGCATGGGGAGGGATAGCTCAGTGGTTTGAGCATTGGCCTGCTAAACCCAGGGTTGTGAATTCAATCCTTGAGGGAGCCATTTAGGGATCTGGGGTAAAAAAAAAAACAGTGCTTGGTCCCCCTAGTAAAAGCAGGGGGCTGGACTCGATGACCTTTCAGGGTCCCTTCCAGTTCTATGAGACAGGCATATCTCCATATATCATGGACAGGAAACGTGCCCGCAGCACATGGAACCCAACTGCAGCTCTGCGGTGGGGTTGCGATCTCTCAAGATCGGGGGGTAGCCAGGTGACTGCTCCATGATCAAAGCTAGACGGCAGTAAAGACTCAGCCAAAGTGATTTAGGAACCTGTCTCCTGGAAAGGCGATGGGGCTGCAAGCTTTTATTTCCCGTGCTGGGGTTTCGGGTGGGCGGGAGTTTGGGAGAAACAGGCTTTGTTTCCTCTCTTCCTCAGATGAAGACCTGGCCTCCGGGCTTTGGGGTGAAGCTGGAGATCATCACCCCTTTTCTGGGCAAGTACCGCCCGTTTGTGGGGCGCTGCTGTCAGACCTGCACCCCGAAGAGCTGGGTAAGGAGGGGAGATCGGAAGAGGGAGGGGATCAGCCTGGTGGTGGTTGGTGGCTTCTGCTTTCACAAGGGCTTTCATAAGGCTTACCCCTAGAGTTGGTCCCTCCTGGGCAGGGCATGGGCAGATTGGCAGGGGCCTCTGGGCAGCACCTGGCGCTGCCGGCAGCTGCAGGGCAAAGAGAGAAGGAACTCGCCCTCCCAACGCTGGCAGGGATGGAGGGTTCCTGGGTTATCCTTGGCAGAGGAGTGAATTCCCAGGGGAAAAGGGGGGGCCCTGCTATTCAGGATGTGTTTCTACTAACGGTCGTGCCTCTGACTGCTTTCAGCAATCCTCCTTCCACAAGCACCTTCCCTCCCTGGGCTTTCACAATGTTCTCCAGGTGACGGAGGAAGACACCAGGTGAGTGTTGGAGGGGTCTGGGGAAGGGGTGCAGGGTAGGAGAGGGTTGGAATGGGGTGATTTTCTGGGCACCACTCTTCTCACGTTATCTCCACGCTGGAGATGTGGCCTGAGCCCAGTCCTGGCAGCCAGGACTCCTGGCTTCTATCCCCAGCCCTGCACAGACTGGCCGGGGGATCCGGGGCTGGTCGCTTCTCCCGCCGAACAAAAGCAAGAATAATATTCATTTCTCTACCTCACTGGAGTGATGGGAGGATTCATAAGTTAGCCTCACTAGCTAATTAGTCTAATAACAAATTGCTTTAAGGATTGTTTGTAAAGCCTTTTGAAAGCTGCAGGCCCATCAAGACTAAGTGTTATTAACAGCAGAGAGGAGAGTATTTGATTCATTCCAATCCGCCCACCCACCCCAATTTCATGTAACAGCAGCAGCAAAAGGGGACTAGAGATTCAACCGAGTAGTTAGTTGTTACCAAAACGTGTAGATTCCCACTCTGGTGTGGAAGGTTGTATTCAGAGATCAGTTTTTTCATTCAGCTCCCTTCCCTGGGACTGGCAGTGGTGAAGCACTGGAATGGGTTCCCTAGGGAGGTGGTGGAATCTCCTTCCTTAGAGGTTTTTAAGGTCAGGCTTGACAAAGCCCTGGCTGGGATGATTTAGTTGGGGTTTGTCCTGCTTTTAGCAGGGGGTTGGACTAGATACCTCCTGAGGTCTCTTCTAACCCTGATATTCTATGATTTGTGAAATGCTTACAAAGCATTTTGGGTAGGGCTGCCCAAGCTGTTTCTAGCCCTGGCAGTTTGTGTGATGGAGGACGTTAAAAACGAGGTGATTCTGGTTCCTTTCCCCTGCACTTTCATGTGCACGCACTTGAGAGTGCAGGGATCTGGACATACGCACAGTAGCATAGCTAGAGGGGTGCAGGGGAAGCAGTCACTTCCCCCACCTTTCCAAAAGCGGGCGAGGGGGCGTGGCATGCAGCCCGCAGCGCAGCCCAGCAGCTGCGGCCAGAGGAGCGGGGGGCGGGGGGCGCAGGCTGGTGGCCCGCAGCGTGGCTGGCAGCCATGGGGGGGCATCCTGCAGCGGGGACCCCCCCCACCCGTCTCTAGACCGCGCCCGGACCCTGCCGCGGGCCGGAATCACAGGGCTTGCTTGTGGCACGAGCCCCAGGGCTCTCGCAGGGACGGGCGGCCCGGCTGCAGAGCCCAGGCGCTGGCCACGGAGTTCTTCAGCTGCTTGATGAGCAGGAGGCCCAGGAGGAGGCGCAGGAGGAAGAAGAGCGCCAGGTAGAGCAGCAAGTTGAACTCCCACCACGCCATGCTGCTGCTGCCAGGGGAACCCGGGCGGGAGGAGGGAAGTTGCTCAGTAGGGGAGTCTCTTCCCCCCCCTGCATGCACGTTGGGGATGCACTGGCAAGGCAGAGCGGGGGCGGGGCGCAACAGGTGGGAGGGTTTCCTCGGCAGGGCTCGGCCTGCTGGCCGGAGAGCGAGCTGCCGAAACATGCCCAGTGCAGAGTGAATCCTAGCGCGGTAAAGAACAGCTGCCTGGACAGGGGCCCGCGGGCTGCAACTCACTGCCCACCTCGGCGCGTCCAAGCCCCTGGGCAGCGCTCGGTTGCTGCGGGAGCAGGGGCGAAGGCATCCCGGGCTCTCTTCCCCCTCTTCTGGTCATCGTGGTGCAGGGGGCGATCAGTGAGGGGCACAGGCAGGTGTAGCGCACGAGAGGCAGCTCCAGCTCTGACCCTCCCGGATGGACCGACGCTTGGAAACAATCCACTGAAAACAGTCCCGGCTTGCTGCGAAGCCCCCCAGGTGGAGCTGCTGGCTCTGGGGCCACGGAACAAAGGGCAGCCCCAGCCAGGGGTGGGTCAGGGCCGCTGGCTCCGCTCACATGAGGCAACTTCCAGGACGGGGAGAAATCGCTGTGCTGAACCTTCTCAGTGTCACTAGGCAGAGCCAGGCTGCAGCTGTCCGGAACAATTTTGCATTGGGAAAGAAAGTCTTCGCAGGCTCATCACTGTCAGCTTTTGGGGAGGGGGAGGGTTGCCCTTTCCTTGGAAGCCTTTGGTTTCTGTTCTGGCCCCTCTCATAGACTAGACACTGGACCAGCTGGCCCCCTGAGCTGATCCAGGATAGTTCCTAGATTCTGAACAGAGATGATTTTTCTTCTGGCCTCAGTGTAAAAGGGGCCCTGCTTAGCTTCAAATCTAAAGGGTGGGCATTTAATCACTCCACTGCCCTGATTAAGCTGGGATACAGTGAAAATGATTCATAGCCTGAATGGCTCCAGGTGGGCGCGGCCGGAGGAGGGGGGGGGGGGAAGAAACACAGCAGGGCCGGAGGAGCCATGCGGGGGGAGGGGCAGGGCGGCCAGGGGAGGAGCCCTTGGGGCGCCTTTTTTATGTTTGCTCCCCCTCCTCTTAGAAGCTGGCTACGCCACTGCGTACGCATGTCCAGATCTTTGGCTGATGTCAGTCATTGGCTTCAATGGAGATTGCTGGAGCTCCCCCGATTTACATTGGTGGAGGGTTTGTCCCCTGATGTTTAACTCTCCAAATGCTGATTTTGGAGCATGCGGCAGCTCCTGTCACTTTCTGTGGGATCCATGTCCGTTCAGCGCTCTTGCAAATGGGGTCACTGTGCTTCCCGCTGCTTGAAACCTCACAGCTCCAGCTTTCGAAAGAGTTTAAATAATTCATCTCGCCTTGTAGCATTTCACGAGTTACGGATGCTAAAACCAGGTGGGCGACGGGAATGCAAGATAGTAACCAGACGTGTATGATGTTTAGTGTCTGATATCTTGTCAGAGCCATGGGCAGGTGAGAAATGGAACCTCTGTCACTGGGATTCCAGTATTTCTAGTGGGGTTCAGTCGTCATTTCTTGCCCTGATGGCTTGCAAAATGTTGGGTATTAACGAAGTCCTTTCGTCTCTTAGCATTCCCTGGTACTGACTGAGGACTGGACACCTGATTGGAGACCTGATGCCATCAAGAATCTTGCATCAGTCTCGGGTGATGTTAACAGGACACTGGCGTGGGTCTTGGTACAGTGAAGTGCAAAGTTTATATCAGGAACGTTTGCCCTTCATGAGATCCAAAGTGAGAGCGGGGAAATGCCTTTTCTCTCCCCGCCAATGCAGGGACATCCTGGATGTTCTCCTTTCCTAGAAGGAAGCTCCGAGACCTGTGGTTTCATGGTTGAGAGAGAGATCCCTAAATCAATACGGTTTTTAGATGTTTTTAGCATGGGAGCGTCACTTCTATACATACAGGCACTTGGTTTTTCTCTAGCTCTTTTCCTCCTTAGATCTCAAAGCACTTTACCAAGTACCATTAGCCCCATTTTACAGATTGGGAAATTGAGGCGCAGCGGCCACGGTGTCCATAAATGACCAGCAAACTTGGGGCCAGCTCAATTTTTGGGGCCCCCACCTTGAGGCTTGTGAAAGGGGCCTAGTTTTGAGAGGACGGGTGTTTGGCCCTTTGTGAAAGTCAGGCCCAGAAATGAGGAATCTGCAGTCACAAGTTGGTTTTGAAAAACTTGGCTCGAGAGCTGAGCTGATTCAGCAGGCTAGTGGCAGAGCAGAGACTAGAACCCAGGTCTTCTGGTTCCCAGTTCAGCGCGCGATCCACTCGACCATGCTGCAGTAAAAGTTATCTCAGCTATCATTTGGCTGGAGGTCTGGCAAGTACCAGTGCATTAAGGATTAGATACTGAGATTAGACTCGTTCCAGCACGCGCTGACCTATGTCAGTCATTCCCGGAAAGGGAGGACGTCGCAAAGGAGGGATGGGCTTGTTAAAAAAATGAAACACTTGAATAAGGGGACATGTCCAGGGACTGATCCTACACCATTAAGGAAAGGCTCTCAGTGGGGAAGCAGTGTTTCCTAGTGGGTAGAGAAGTGGCCTTGGATGCAGGAAACCTTGCTTTGTTCCCAGCTCTGCCACTGGCCTGCTGTGTGATCTTGGGCAAGTCACGTCCCCTTTTGGTGCCTCAGTTTCCCCATGGGGATAATGATTCTGACCTCCTTTGAGATCTACATATGAAAAGTGCTATATACAAGTGCTTACAAGTATTAGTAGTACCCTGGAAGGATATACCTGGATTATGGAATGCATGTAACGTATCATATGTCCATGGGTTGCGTAATTACCTAGCGGAGTGTGTCTCTCTCTAGGTACAGGGGCTGGCTGGTAAGAAGACTCTGTTACTTCCTTGCGATCCTCGAGTGGAAAGTTGATTCTGAGACCCCGCGAGATCTCCAGGAGAGAATCTTCCGCAGCAAAAGGTATCATTCCTCATGTGAGAGCAACCTGAGGTTATTTACCCTACGGGCTGGCACTGGAGTTTTGCTCTTATCTCCCTTCCTTTCTCAGCTGTTCCCTATGCTATTCCAGCCCTATGTTGTTTGGATCCTGCCTCCGGATCTGTGTTGTTCTGACTGCAGCCCTTGTCACCTTCAGAATAAAGTAGAACTGAGTGCAGGCTCCAATGACCTGGGGCTATAAACCTCAGGCCAGGGAGGGCATCTGAGTAAGGACTCCTGGGTTCTATTCCCTATCCAGCAACTTATGCCCTCTCCAGCAGGACGCCAGGGCTGTGCTAACTGTTAGGTGGGGCTGGTTTAAAAAATTTTGATTAACATTGTTTTGGATGGAAAATTGGTTTTTTGATTAACTGAATATTTTTGTGAAAAGTGTCTGCTTTCCTTGGAAAAATTTTATTAATTGCATCAAAAATCTGGATACTTGAAAATTTGAAATATTTTGCATCTGAAATGTCGCTGTGGTGCCTCATAGGAGTTGTGGTTTGGTTACCTCATACTCCTATCTGCCTCCATGGGACAGGTGCTCCGGCTGGACTTCAACTCCCATGATGCATCATGGCAGTGTGACTGCCAGGATGTCCCGCCTCCAATCCCCAAGCAGGGACACTGGTGCATCATGGGAAGTGTAGTCCAACCAGGGAGCCAGGCCTCTAGAAGAGAATAAGTGTGAGGTACCTGAACTGGCCTTTTGTGGAAACTCCAGTCCTTTCTTGACCTCTAGCAGACATGCTGGTATAGACAGGGGCCCCTGCTACTTGTATCCTGCTCAGAGCATCTCTGCTCAACACAGTGGTTCAGATGTTGATGGCTGCCCTGCCCTAGTGCCCTTGCCATATTTAGGCCTGGCAGAATGTGTGTTTTTATTTTTTATCATTTTGATGGCTAATATAATGTTTATCTTTAAGCATTTTTTTTTCAATTTTGGATTGAGTTAAATTTTCCCAGTTGCTGGAGAGAGAGTGCAAGTTGAAGGAAAATCCTCCATGTAGAGAAGGCACCCAAGCCAGGCGACCTAGAGTCTAGTCCTGGCTCTGTCCTTGAACTGGGCAAGTCACTTCCCCATGCCTCAGTTTCCCCATCTCAGAAATGGGGAGTCATAGCTCGAAGGGATCAGATACTGCTGTGACGAGCACAGTGTAAGCGCCTGAGTGCAGTAGTGGGGCTATGAACACGGAACAAGAGAGGCATTGTCCACTGTCCAGCATGGCTCACTCTGCTGTTCTACACCCAGCCCGCAGTCTTGGGCTAGTCTCTGTACCCTATAGCTATGCTGGGATGACTCCCATGTGGACACCCTTATTCGAAATACCATGGCCTTGTTTCCGTTCAGCTTATATCACTTTGGGCACATATACGATTTTTCAGTTTTGAGCCCTCCGCTAACCTGAAATAAATCTATTCTGAACGGGCGTGTCCAATCACAGGGCATTATACTGGTGTAACATAACCAACATAGCTTATAAAGCCAGAAGGGACCGTTGTGATCATCTCGTTTGATCTCCTGTTCAGGGCCGGCTCCAGCTTTTTTGCCGCCCCAAGCGGCGAAGAGGAAAAAAATAAAGCCGTGATCGGCGGCACTTCGGCGGCTGCTCTACCATCGCTGCTTCATTCTTCAGCGGCAATTCGGCGGCAGGTCCTTCCCTCCGAGAAGGACTGAGGGACCCGCCGCTGAAGACCCGGACGTGTCACCCCTTTTCATTGGCCGCCCCAAGCACCTGCTTCCTGCTCTGGTGCCTGGAGCCGGCCCTGCTCCTGTTTAATACAGGCCAGAGGACTTTTCTGAATTAATTCATCTTTCATGTGAGCGTATCTTTTAGAAAAAATAGGTATTCAGTTGAAAAATGTCAGCGACGTTTTTCCACCACAAACACTTGATAAGTTGTTCCAGTCGTTAATAACCCTCGCTGTTCAAAACGTACGCCTCCTTTCTAGTCTGAACTTGTGTATGTTCACCTCCCGACCCCTGGTTCTTATTATCTCTGTCTGTTAGGTTGAAGAGTCCTTTAACAAAGGAATGCTGGTACATTTTCCTGTGTAGACAAGCCCTTGCCCTGTGCCTCTCTTCCCACATGTACAAGAGAGAATTAATGGGCCAGAGTCTCTCCTGGCGTAACATTAGTGGATCTATGCTGTTTTACGCCTGCTGAATTTCTGGCCCACTGTTTGTAATGTGTTTTGTGAGCCTCTGATGACAGGCCCTGTAGCAGGGGCAAAAAAAGATTGCGATATCGCAGGAATATTTTCACAAAGGGCCCTCTGTCTATACTGATGTCCTACTCTCATCTGCATTTATTTAGCACTTCTCTGGCATTTCCCCCCCACACTTACTCTGATAAATTACGAGCTGCAAGTTTGTCTTTGATGTCAAGCTGAGAGGTTAGATGACTAAAGCAACGGTGCAGAAGTTGAACTGGTGAGAGCGGTGCACTGGGAAAGGCGTTGTTCTGATGATTCGCTTTTCAGCCCCGAGCTCACAGACAGGGCAGCAGTCCTGTAGACCACAGAGGCACGTGATAAATTGAGTTTATTCAGTGTCCTCTAGAATAGAATCTATCAGTGATGATATCACAGCAGCACCTAGTGGGACTCACTGAGATCCGGACTGCATTGTGCTAGGAGCTGTACAGACACAGAACAGGAAGATGGTCCCTGCCCCAAATTGCTGACAATCTAAGTATAAGACAAGAGACAACAGGTGGAGACAGACGGTCAGGGGAATACAAGGAAACAGAGACATTAGTGGTCAGTCTGATGGGACCGTGGTGTGATCATTGTGGTTTGAGCGATTTTCACAGGGATGGTGCTACCTCCCCAGCCAGTAGGTGTATCCCTTCCCCTCGCAGGGTGCCGGATGGGGACGGGGAGCTCCGGATGGAAACAGCTGTCAAGAAGGAAAATGATAGAGTGTTTAGTAGCAGCAGAATTCCTGGGCACCTGTCAGTTGCAGGCAGGGTGTGGTTAACTCCCTGCTCCAATCTGGCCGCTTAAGACAGCATTGGGCCCAAGCCTGCTGGATTCAGCGGGGTCCCCACTGACTGCCAGGGGTTTTGGATCAGGCCTTTCCGGATGGATGCTCCTTTTGCAGATGGGTCAGGAAGGAAACAAGCCAGCACCAGCGTAGTGACAATTGTTCTGAAAGCGTTGATTCAGCCAGGCTGATCCCAAATCCTGTGCTCTGTGTCTCTGTCTGGTCTGCAATATGTCCCCTTTGGGCCTGATGCAGAGCCTATGGGACGACACCCCGGGCTTTACCTGCCCTTTGGCCAGCAGCGAACTGCAGTCTGTTGTCTGGGGAAAGGCAGACAGGCCGGTGCGGGGGTGGGGGAGAGCCCGATGTGAGCAGAAACCTCAGGGAATGTTTGGGGAGGCAGAATATAACTGACTGCAGCTGGAATTTGGCCAGGACATTGGAGTTAGCCGCCCTGCTCTTGGAGAGCTTATTCATTGATTTCTCATCTGACAAAAATACAGTGCCCCCCTAAATCTGTCCCTGCCTGGACTAGAACCCAGATCTCATCTGTGCCCTTTGCTCTGCCCGCCAGAGACGCTGCGGCTTTCCTGATCGCTGAGTTTTCCTGGGCTTCCCACCCCAGCCTTGCTCAGGCTGCATGTGATCGCAGTGTCTCTCCGGTGTGCAGCGTAACGTGTACACGATCTCGGCTGGGGTCTCTCCTTGCCGCCCCCGATAACCGTTAATAGGGTGTCAGCGGCTGGCTGTCCTTAGGCTCTAGTTGCTGGGATGCATTAGGCGCTCTGAATGGCGTATTAAATCCTGCGGCTTTGCTTGGCGTTCTTGTTTTTCACCTGCTCTCCCTTTCTCCCCAGGGTGCAGGATGTCATGTCTCTGGAGGTCCCCCAGGCGAGAGGGGCTGGCTCCGTTCTCAGCAAATCCCCGGCACAATGGAGGAGCGAAGTGCTGAGCATCCTGGGCCAGATTCAGTCTCCTCTCTCCCTTTTCATACTGAGGTACATCCCCCTCTCTGCAGAGAGGGCCTGGCAAGGGCTACAGGGGGCTCTGGCACCCATTCTGCTGTGTTTATGGAGCAGCAGCAGAATTTTCCGAGGGGGCTGGTAATAGAGACCAGGTTCTTGTCCCAGCTCTGCCATGTACTTGCTGTGTGTAACCTTGGGCAAGCAAAACTCTTGTGCCTCGGTTTCCCTGTATTCAGGACGGAGAGAGTGATGCAACCCTTCCTCGGCAAAGCGCTCTGAGATCTAGGCCTGCAAAGCAGCAGAGTGGTGATTAGAGCTATGGCTCTGGCCCTGTTCCTCCGCACGAAATTAACCCGCCCGTCAGAAAGCAAAGAGTGTGTGAGTGCATTCTGTGCCCGCCTGCCCTGTGGCTTGCTCTCTGAGGTGCCTTACAGTGACGCGGTGGTGGTGATGGCAAGTCAGGTCCCTGCTAGGAGTGCGTGCGTGTGTGTGTGTGTGTGTGTGTGTGTGTGTTTTAAGTTTTTTGCCGAGTCAGGGATGTTTTTCCTGTGTTTCAAACTTAGCTGGTGGTTGGCTGCGGTTGGGGCCCTGGGCTGGCGAAGTGGAATCCCTGGTGAAGAGGGTTTGGGATCGGGTGGTGGTTCAGAGATATGTTCTGGTCAAGAAACAACACACAGCTGTGCTTGATGGTCCCAGGAGAGGTCCAGGACTGGAGTAGCAGGGGGCTGCGGGTCGCGATTGAGCAGTACCGATGGAGCAAGTGGGGGAGGGGAGCCCAGGGGTGGGGTACCAGAGGGCTGCAGGTTGGGATTGAGGGGTACCGATGGGAGCTAATGGGGAAGGGAGCCCAGGGCTGGGATCACAGGGAGCTAGTGGGGGAGACTGCTGGTCCTGTATTAAATTGGACAGTCCCCTGCTTGAGAGGTTCGTCCCCTATGCAGGACTGGGAGGAGACCGGATGCGGTTTTGACAGATAACCAACAGGGGGTGCCATTTTTAAGAGGGTGCTAATCTTCCCCCTCCAGCGTGACCTCAAGTGCATGGTACATATGGGGTCACGCCAGCGGGGTTGGGGTCACGCCATGCCCGGCCGTACTGGCACGTCTGGTATTCTGGGAATGTGTCCATGGCCACCTTAGCTGCAGGTCAGGATTCAGGGGCACCGGCAAAGGTGGTGGGGCAGTGGAACCGGGCTGGGGGACCAGGGGATACAGGTCAGGACTGAGGGGTACTGGCAGAGCTGGGGAAAGGTGGGGGAGCTAGGGGCTGGGGGATCGAGGGGTTTGGAGGTTGGGATTGAGGGGTACCAGCAGAGCTAGGGCGGGGATGGGGGGAGCTAGGGACTGGGGGACCAGGAGATGCAGGTCAGGACTGAGGGGTACCAGTAGATCTGGTGAGGGAGGGGAGCTCCGGGCTGGGGGATCCGGGGACTGCAGGTCAGGATTGAGGGGTACCGGCAGAGCTGTGTGTGAAGCAGCTTGGAGCTGGAGCAGGGTGAGCTGTGGGTCGGAACTGAGAGGCGTTAGCAGAATTGCAGGCGGGTCGGGATGGGGGGCATTGGTGAGCTTCGTGGGGAAGCCCGTCCAGCACCTCTGTGCGTTCTCCTGGTCTGGAGCCAGCGGTAGCCCCATCCCCTTTTAACCAGTGCTAACGTTTCTCACTGGAAGGGAACGTCAAAGACTTCACCTAAAAGAAAAGGTGAACTTTTTTTTTTTTTTGATTGTTGAGAAATTGGCAGATAAAGTTTCCATTGAGGCCTAATTGCTTCTCTGATTGAGCTGTAATAAAAGAACCTTTCCGAACAGTCTGAGTATTTAAAGTGGGGAAATTGCCCAGGGGATAAAAGCATTTAGAGGCTTCTGGTAAACATCACGCAGGAGCTCGGGGGTGGGGATGGGGGAGATGGGTTCTGGGTTTGCACGCTGGGCTTATTTTATTTTTATTGTATTTTTTTGCCTAATCACGCAGGGGCGTTAATTTTTTTGTTGCAAACAGAGCTCCTGTTTATTCATTTACTTTGTGGGAGCTTAGAGACGTGGGTTGAACATTGAAATGTGATGATAATGCCTAGCTCATGTAGCGCTTTTCATCCGCGGATCTCAAAGCACTTCACAAAGGTGGGTCTGTGCCATTAGCCCTGTTGTACGGATGGGGAAACTGAGGCACAGAGCGGGGACCTGACTTGCCCGAGCTCACCCAACAGGCCAGGGGCAGAGCGAGGAATTGGGCCCAGGTGGCATGAGACCCAGTTTAGTGCTCTAACCACTAGACCACACTGCATTTGAATTAAATCTCGCTCTTCGGGTAGATTTTTCACACCCCTGAGTGATGTAGTTAAGCCGACTTCATTTCCTCATGTAGACCGGACCTGAGACGCAGCAAGTCTGCGTTTGAGTCTCTTCTCTGTCACTGAGTTGCTGGGGAAGTCATTTAACCTCTCCTTGCTTCCATTCCCCATCTGGAAAATGGAGAGTGTCATACAGTGTCAGCGCTGCAAACCCCAGAAAAACCACAACATTAAAAAAATATTGAGGGGAGGGGGCTCTCCTTTTGGCTTCTGAGCCACTAGGCTGTGCTGGGGTCCTATTTTTATGCTTTTCTACCTCTACTACAAGGGCTGGAAACTTTCGCTCAATCAAAGAAGCTGAGATTCTCACGCATTCCCATGACTCCGGAAGCTGGAGCTTTAAAAAACTCCAGGGAGGTGGAAGAGCTATCGGAGCTTAAGGACCATGTTTGGCCCAAGAGCGAATGGGGATAAACTGGCCATGAGGAAATGTAGGCTGGAAATGAGAGGAAGGTTTCCTAACCACCAACAGGAGTAGTGGGGCGGGGGGGAAAACAAGCCGAACTAGTTCTAAAATGGACCTTGATATGTTGATAAATGGGATGACCTGCTGGGTGGCCTGCGATACCACGGGACTGCTGCCGATGACCTCGAAAGTTCCTTCCGCTCCTAGGTTCCTAATATGCCAGTTATTGCAATACTTGCGGTAAAAGCATAAGAGCTGGCAACGCCATGCTTCTCTCTCGTGAGTCTGTGCAGTGCCTGGTGCGATGGGGTTGCGTGGAAGATGAGTGGATGCAATTGTATCGCGTTGATTTCAGTGGGGGTTTGTTTGGGCTCCAGAGTGCTGGGTGGGGCGGGGTTGAACTAGGATGAATTTCCCAGCAACCCTCCTGTGAACCACAGCTTATGTTCTGGGTCAAGCCTGGAGGGGGCTTGTTTAAACTCGCAGGCTTCTGCAAAATGGGAGTCGGGAGGTTCTCAGCCCAGTCCCCCTGTGGGCAAGCAGCAGGGAGGAGCAAGTGAATTCCTGGCCCTAGAGGTGGTGAGCGTGTGCGGCTCGGTGGGGAACGCAGCGGGGAGACGGGGAATTGAAACCCCTAGAACCAGTGGTGACTGATGGTGGTGCCCTCGTCGGGGGCTGATGATTAGAAGACGCCAGTAAAGTTTAGAAAGTGGAGTGTATAAAGGTGTAATTCCACCCCTCCTAGCGTAGGGCGCAGAGACTGGGGATGGACACTCCGTGATGGGAAATGAGGTTGGTGAGGGAGCCGGAGCCTTGGTACGCGGAAGGGATATCAGTGGGCCTTTCTTTCCCTCTTCCCCCAGGCTCTGCAGCTGGGCTCTGCTCAGACTCCTCAACCGCGTGTTCCTCAACCTGCTGCTCCACAAAGGGCAGCTGGAGATGGTGCGCAGGGCAGCCCAGATGGTAAGGAGCAGTGGGTGGGCTGCCAAGAGCCCTGTTCCTTGTGTTATCTGCCTAAGGCACTTGTGTGGGCCCCACCACCCTAGTGTCTGAGCTCCCGTAATGCCTTTATCCTCATGCATGGGGGACAGGGCGGGGCTGATAGCACCATTGTACAGGTGGGAAACTGAGGCACCGAGCGGCTAAGAGATTTGCCCAGGGTCACAGTGGAGTCTGTGGCAGAGCAGGGATTGGAACCCTAGCCACCGGACCATCCTTCTTCTTCCTCCTTAGGCTGGGCTCCCGGCGACACTCGGTTACCTGGCACCTTCGTGCTGATGCTTGTGGTCACCATGTATTGAGCTCAACACAGGGCGCAGAACTGGGTCCCGTTCTCGGTGCTGCCTGAATCCTTGTGCGAGCCTGGAGGCAAATCACTTGGTCAGATTTTCAGCAGGGCCTAACTGCCTTAGGAGCCTAAATCCCAGAGAGTCAATGGGGCTTAAGCAGGCCCGGTGCAAGGAACTTTTGCGCCCTAGGCCAAACTTCCACCTTGCGCCCCACCCCAGCCCTGCGGCAGCCCCCCCCCTCCTGCCCTGTGGCGCCCCTCCCCCCCCCCGCCGGCAGCTCCCCCCCTGCCCTGAGGCGCCTCTCCCACGGCAGCTCCCCCCTGGGGAGCTGTGTAGCAGCTCCCCACCCCAGCTCACCTCTGCTCCGCCTCCTCCCCAAGCACGCCGCCCCCGCTCTAATTCTCCTCCCCTCCCAGGCTTGCGGCGCGGGAGAAGTGGAGTGGCCGCTGCGCTGGGAGAGGGAGTCTGAGCTGCACGTATCAGCGCGCTGCCAGCAGCGCTTTTTGGCGCCCCCAAACCTTGGTGCCCTAGGCAACCGCCTAGTTTGCCTAAATGGTAGCACTGGCCCTGGGCTTAAGTCCCTGAGTCACTCGGCCTTTTTGAAACGCGTTTCCCTAGATCTCAGGCTGGCAGCAGTTGAGTGCCCTGGCCCCTGAGTGCCCCCTGCCAGGCTTAGGTGGAGGTGCTGTATGGCTCTGCTCCCGGCCTCGGCCTGGGGCTGGGAATGGAGCCGCAGCCAGGGGCTGGCGCGGGGCCAGGAGCGGAGCCGTGCTGAGACTGAGGACAGGGCCAGGTGCAGGGCTGGGAGCCGGGGACTTGGCTGGGGGCCGGACCAGATCAGAGCTGGGGGCAGGGCGGGGCTGGGTGGCACTCCCTCCCTGCCGCTTGTGGGGGCTAGCCCGTGCACCCCCGCATCCCCTGGATGTTCCTCCACGTCCCCCTACGGGGGTGTGCCCCACAGTTTGGGGACCTCTGCAATAGCGGGGGTGGCGGTTGCAGACGGGGGCTTGGTGTCCAAGTGGACAGAGCCCCTCTGCTATTTGCAGAGTGCTTTGAGAGCCCCTCAGCAGGCAGGATATGCGGTTAGCTCACAGGGCCGCACATCTGGTTCCTTGGGGCTTCAGGCTCCGTTGTGCCCCTCCACCAGGGGTCTTTCCAGCTGTCGTCTAGAGTGTGGGACTCGTCTCCAGTCGCCACGGCCCAGTTTTCTATGTAAGGGTCTGCTCAAACGCTCATTGAAGTGGATGGAAAAATCCCTGTGGGCTTTGGATCGGGCCCTGGGCGTCCGGTGACTTGCCAGGGGGCTGTGTGGGGAGTAGTGCCCAGGATCCTGGAGGGGTGTGCAGTATATTGCCTGCAGTGGGTCCCCCTTTGTGCGCATTGCTCAGCCGGCATGGCGTGGCCTATGGGTACGTCTGTAGTGTGGACGAGGGCTCTGATGTGGGTTTCAGTCCTAATCCCCCTCCCATCCGCGCACATGCTTTCCCACCGCTGCTGGGTCCCTGGCCCGTTTCTGGTAGCACGGCGCGTCCCGCTGCAGCTGGGGGCATTGGTGGGCTAAGAGAGCTTCTGCACAAGCCTCATGGGGCAGACGGACAGGTTCTGCCATGATACACCGTGAACCCAGCCCTGGAGTGGCCACAGCCGTCCAGGGGCTAAGAGAACCCAGGGAAATTCTCCCGGAAACGCCAGTCCTGTCGGTGCACTGCCAGTGTGGCCGGGCCTGCCTGGTGGCCAGGGGGTATACACGGGGGTGATACATGGATGCTCCATGGCGAGCGTGGAAGGCCCGGGCTCGCCTGTGCAGGCACGCAGCCTCGGCGGCACCCCGCACACACCCCTGTCATTTTTTCCTTGCAGCCTGACATCCCGCTGGTTTTCCTCTCGACTCACAAGTCCTGGCTGGATGGGCTGCTGCTCCCCTTCCTCCTGTTCTCTCAGGGCCTGGGGGTGCCCCGAGTGACCTGGGAATACCAGGCCTTTACCCCAAGCCTCAGGTAAGGGTTAGTGCTGGGGTTACAGGCATCTGTCTTCTGCATGGCCGGCTCCCTGAGCTGTGTGACTCCATCTGCTTCTCTCCTATCCTCATCTGCTCGTTACTTTCATTCTTCTGGCCTCTCCCTCGGAACCCTTCTCCCACCGGGAATGGGGCCGGGGAACCACGGGCGAAGGGGGTGGGAGGGAGAGGTGGCCGTCCTGTCTCCCGGGGAGGCCCAGGCAGGATTGGGTGGTTTGGGAGGGCGAGGGCGCTGGGCTCTCTGCAGTGTCCGTGCCTGTTTTTGCCTGCAGGGCCTTGCTGAGCCGGTTGGGAGGGGTTTTCCTGCCTCCCGGAGTGGAGCACGCGCCGGACGGCGAACGGGGTGTGCTCTCCAGGGCCATCCTCACCTCGGTAAGTGGGGGGGAGAGGCAGGGGTTCGTGCGGCTGAGACATGAGCCAAGGGGTGGCGTGGGACCCTACTCTGGGGGGGAACGTAGTGAAAGCCTTAAGCCAGTGGTTTGAGACTCCTAAAGCACTTGGTTAAGGATTTCATAGCTGACTAGGAGACTTAGACACCCAGCTCCCATTACCGTCAGTTGGAGCTTGGTGTATGGCTCAACCCCCTCCCCAGCTTTGCAGATGCCAGCCATTGGAGGGGAGGGGGGTGGGTCAGAACGCCCCCCGCCCTGCTTAGATGGACCCTCTGAATGGACTGAGCACAGGTCTGGGAGCCAGGGCTTTCCCAGGTTTCAGTCTCATTCATTTGGTGAGCACCGCCTGGGCGCTTAGCTTAATTCCACCTCTGCCACTGACTCACCGTGGGACCCGGGCTGAGTCGCTGCCCCTGCCTCGGTTTCCCCACCTGCTCAATGGGGAGGATGCGGGAGTTGGGTGTGAGCCCCAGCACTGTTATTTCGGAAGGTTGTTGGGGGCTCATCCAGGAATCCTGCTTGTTTGTGAAAACTGGAGCAAGCCCCCCAGAATAGCAAGCAGCCCAGTGGTTAGGGTGCTCAGCTGGATGGGGGAGACCCAAATTCAAACCCCCGAGCTGAATCGGGCAGAGCGGGGATTTGAACCTGCCATGCTCATGCCTTGGGCTGTTGGCTGTTCCAGGATCTCGCTCTGGCTTTTCGCAAAACGTCTGAAGTTCTCGCTTGGGTCCTGACACGAGATGGGGTCTCTAGATCCCGGTTGGTTTATTCCCTGCTAAATTCCCTAGGATTTATGAGTAAGAGGGCGGTGCCAATCAAATGCCCGCTGAGCTGAGGACGAGTCTTTCCACTGACTCGTCACGCTCAGGCACGCGCGGCAGGCTGCCCGAGTGGTAGCGCCTGGTGGAAAACCACGCTTCCGTGGGGTGGAGAGTGGACGTCGCGGGAGGAAATTGGAGCTGGATCTTGGGAAGTGCTCCCTGGCTGTGAGATCTGTCGGGCTGTGGCATTATCCCCCTGGAGGAAGGGGCCTTTAGCCCGTGGGAAGAGGGGAGGGATTGGGAGGAGCTGAGAAGGGGGGTGGGATGTGATTCGCTGGGGGAGATGTAAGGAATGAGGGTGGGCAGCAGGGCTGAGTCAGAAGGGACCACCCGGGGTGGCAACGGGAGCAGATGGTTTTAGGGAGTAACCACCACTTCTCTGCCGCCTGGTTGGGGGGGGAATATTCTGTGCCCCCAAAGCTTAGGGCGAAGGGGAGCTCGGCTGCACCCTGTCTCCGATCCCATGAGGTTCCTCTCCTGCCCGCAGTACGTCGAGGAGCTGCTGAAGAGCCGGCAGCACCTGGTGATCTTCCTGGAGGAGCCCGTCTCTGGCGAATCCCGGCTGTCCGCCCCTGGCGGAGAGTGGCTGGCGCTGGTGCTGAGCGCTGTCCATGCCAGAGCCGTCCCCGATGTGATGCTGGTGCCCGTGGGCATCGCCTATGACGTGGCCCCCAGTGCATCCCGCGGGGGGCTCTTGGTAAGAACCACCGGCCGTTAAGGGGAGTGGTGGCTAGAGCAGAGCAGCCGGGAGCCAGGACTCCTGGGTTCTGTTCCTAGTCAAGGGAGGAGAGTGGGGTCTAGTGGTTAGAATAGGGAGCTGGGAGCCAGGACTCCTGGGTTCTGTTCCTAGTCAAGGGAGGGGAGTGGGGTCTAGTGGTTAAAATAGGGAGCTGGGAGCCAGGACTCCTGGGTTCTGTTCCTAGCCAAGGGAGGGGAGTGGGGTCTAGTGGTTAGAACGGGGCTGGGAGATGAGATTCCTGGGTCGTGTTCCCGGCTCTAGTTGGGGGGGTGGGTCTGGCATAGACACTGACAGTTCTACCCTACGCTCACCCCCTTTCCCTTCACTTGGGTACATGCTCTGCACCTTGCAGGGGATCCTCCCGAGAAACCCACCTTCTCCCGCCCTCCTAATCGGGGCACCCCACTTGTGGCCTTACCAAACCCACCATCCTGGGCACGGGTCCCTGCTCTAGTCTCTGTCCTGACCCAGATCTCACCTCTTGGCTTCTGCCTCTCTGTTCTGGCTGGGCTATTCCCAACAATCCAGCTCCTCTCTTCGGACACTGGGCACCCAGGGCAGCCGATCTCTCTAGGTCACCAGCCTCTTCTTCCTTTTTTTTTTTTTTTTTTTTTTGCCTGCTCCTTGCTTCCAGTATTGGCTGCTGGCTCTGGGAACCAGGACAGCTGCCTTTCCCAAAGGTCTGGAGAGGGGCACGTCCCAAACCTTTGGAAGCCGAGGGCTCCAGTAGCCAGGACTTTCAGTTCTGCAGAGCACCTGAGATCCACGCCCGGGAGCCCCTGTGGAGCTTCCAAACTGAGCAGGGGTGCGGGCACAGGGCAGCTCCCCTCCTGCAGAGCTGGGTCGTTTAGCTTGGGCACCCCGCAGAAGCAAAACTTCACTCCCCGCAACCTTGAGGTGCGGAAATCTGGCATTACACTGTGAAGATCGTTCGTAGTGGCCCCCTCCTGATCCAATTCTCCCTGCGGGGTCGGGTGTTGCCTTGTTCTGCCCCTGAAGAACAACGTCCTGAAGACGCTTTGCCTGTCCCCGGGTAACCTCCTGCACCACCACCTGTAGCTCCTCCGTGGAGCAGGCCTGTTCCTCTACCGAGCTAATGCGCCCTCTGACTGATATATAGCAATAAACATCACCAGCGCGCCATTAACAGACTCTGCTCGTCTGCTGTCCTAGGGCTCAGCTCAACCTTTGGGTCTCTGGTCTTGTCTCCTGGCCGTTCGCCGAGCGCTGGGCCAGGAGTTTGGCTGTGTCCGGATGGACTTTGCACAGCCTTTCTCCTTGCAGGTATTGGGCAGCTTCTGGGGGCTTGGCCTAGGGCTTCTGCCTGTTCCGGGCCTGGGGATTTGGCGATTCCTGGCTAGATCTTGGGGAATCTAGTGGCGCAAGATTCTTGGGTGTCATGATCTTGGTGGAATTTGGGGACTAGGGGGATGTCTCCGCTGCAGGTTCGAGCGAGCAATTAAACAGTCCCGCAGCCAGAGCCCTGCAGCGCTCCAGTGATATTTTTAGCATGCTCACTCGAGCCAAGCTAGTGCCAGCTGCTGTGTAGACATGCTCTAAGTGGCTTGGGATGATTGGCCAGTAGTGCCGTGGGGAATCTGGTCGTCTTGTGTTTGGGGATTGGCCTGAATATATGGGATCCAAGAAGCTTGTGGGGGCCCCACTGAGTTTGTAGTTTGGGATCGGGCAGATGGAGGCCTGGGGAATTCGTTGCCTCACTGGCATGGCTTGGAATTAGCTGGATGGGCCACATAGGGTATGTCTACACTACGCCTGCGGCTCGCTCGTGTCAAGCGACCTGGGCTCACGGGGCTCGGGCTGCGGGGCTGTTTAATTGCAGTGTAGACGTTCGGGCTCGGGCTGCAGCCTGAGCTGGATTGTCTACACTGCAGGGAAAGAGCCTGAGCCCACATCGGCTGGCAGGGGCCAGCTGCGGGTGTCCAGTTCCAGTGTAGATGTACCCCTGGACTCCTTCCGGAGCTGGATGGGCCACGGAGGGTAGTGAGGAGGGTGCAGGTTAGCGAGCGCAGCATGGGGGCTCCCTTAGTCCCACTGCTGCTGATTGGCCTGCAAAGGCCTTGGGAGTTTTTGGCTTCCTGGTGTCTAGCCAGGCCGGTAGCAATTGGCCGGGTTGTGTTCCTTGATTCCAGGAGTACACAGCAAACAGCCTCTTCAGACAGAGCTGCTCGCGGAAGTCCCTGGAGGAGCTGCTTCTGCCCGTCATCCTCGGCAAAAGGTAGCCCCCAACCCAGATCCTGAGGGGGGCGGGGGGCAAGGAGAGCTGGGGCCATTGGTCAGAGAAGACTGCAAGGAAGGGGCTGCAGAAAGACCCTCCGGGTGCACCGGGCATGTCACGAACCCCAGCTAGATTCACAGCCGGTGTATCCGGCACTGCTCCAGCTCCCACTAGCAAAGCCCTGCAGGCACCCCTGCTCTGAGCTAGGCCTGGGTGCCCGCTCTACTGCTGAGCGGTGTCCCTTGTCCTCTGGGGTAACTGACCCCTGCCGTCAGTTTCAGCAGGAGCTCAGCTTGGGCCCAGATGCCCCAAAAGCAAGGGCTTTGGTGACGGAACAGAGAGCCTTTCACTGCTGTGTTGCTGGCCTCACTCCGGCTGGCTGGGAAATGGGTTTGTTGGGTTTCAGGCCGGTCATGGCAAAACCCGCCCTTCACCAGGGGGGCCATGGGCTGGATGGGCTGTGGGTGCTGAGCTCCCCTCTGCCCCCTAGAGGTGGATCTGAGAGACTAAACCTTAAGCATCAGGGGCTAAGCCAGACTCTGCATGCTCAGGTTTAGGGGACCTGCCTCTGAAGACTGGCCACTGCCAGGGGCAGGAGCCGGGCCTTGGTCCAGACTGGCAGTTCTCTTCCTAGCTCGGGTTTGAGCCATGGTAGCGCACCTGGGGGAAGCGTGCACTGCCGCCGCCTGGGCTCTGTGTGTTGTGTAGCTAGAAGAATTGAGCCTCTAAGGGCTTCCACCGGCCCTGGGTTTGCTGCCCGGGCGATTGCGTCTCTCCTATGTCAGCCAGCGCCTGTTGCTGTTAACAGCTGCCCAGTCTCACCCGTGTCGTCCTCTTTCCGCAGCCCCGACCTGCTGGACTGGGAGAAGTCAGAGGAGTGGTACCCGGGCCTCGGAGCTGCCGCGGAGCTGAAGGCAGACGAGCGAATGCTGGTGGGCAGACTTGGCCTGCACTCCCTGAGCGGTAGGCGCTAACTCTGTGCTGATCTCCCGAGCGGCCAGATTTGGGGAAGGAGGAGTGGGAGTGGGGATCCCCCTTTCCCTCCGTTCTCTGCCTCTTTCCACCAAGCTGTTGAGCTAAATAACGGAACGTGTCCTGCGTGAGCTGGGAGCCGACGGGTCTGCTCAGCACGGTTCTCCGGCAGAAAAGAGGCTGGAGCAGGACTCTTTTAACCCATATGTTGGGTCAGCAGCTGGTTGTGTAGACGGTCTGCATGTCGGGGTCTGTCTCAGCGGAGCAGGGTGAGTGGAGGAAGGGGGCTCATTTGGAGCAGGCGTGTGTACGAGAACAGCCACGGGCTGGCGTGCTCCAGGGGCAAATGGAGACTAGCCATGGGCACAGGCTGGGGTGGGCCTTGCCCTCAGCAGCAGGAGGTCTGTGTCCCGGGCCCTGTACTTGCTGGGGGAGGAATAGGAGGGGCCAAGGAGACACCCTGAGGGGATACTTAACTCCACACTCCCCATGTAGGCGTCAGCAATGAGCAGGGCCCCTGTGCTCCAGCCACCCTGGATGGGACCAAGGCCTCTGAGGGAGACCCAGGTACCTAGAGAGACGGTCCTGGAGCCTTCCAGCTGCATTGCCCATGCTGGAGGGGGCCTGTGGTGGTGTGGCCAGGAACTCGGTGGGGTTCAGTGGAACCCCTCTGCAGGACAGGTGGGATTTGTAAGCTCCATGCAGGGCCAGACTCCTCTTGGTTGGACTGCAGTTAATCTAGAGTCACTGTGGATTTACACCAGTTGGAGGTCAAAATCTGGCCCACAGATCCTTCCAGGGCAGCCGTTAACGTAATTAGGAGAGAGGTAGAGCCGGGCTCCCGGCTCCTCCCCTTCCTCCATCGTTCTGCTGTTGCGAGGCCTTGGTTGCTGCAGCCATTGCCGGGGCGGGTGGAATCTGTACCTGGCGTGGCTGTTCAGAGAGGAGAACCGCACGGATCTGAGTCGCAGACTTCAGGAGGAGCCGCCCGGCTAGGGGGATCCCGCTGCCGCCTGCAACAGCTCAGTGACAGGACGAGTGCAGTGGCCTCCCCACGAATGCAGCCACAGTTCTGGCCTAGATTGTGTGAGCTCCTTGGGGCGGAGTCCTTCCTTGCACAACGTCTGTACAGCACAGCGGGGCCCTGATCCCAGACTGGGGCATCTCGGGGCGACAGCAATGTCAATAACACGGAACGTCCCAGGGCTGGAGCGCTGAGAACGTCGGATCCTTGCCAGCCCAGCATCCGGCGGGCGGGTGCCCAGAGGATTTCAGAGCCAGCTGATCCCTTATGATCTGCATCCCCCCACATCTTTCCTATCCCCGGACTTGGGCTCCATCATTTCCTTCCATGTCTAGGCTCCGTGGTGAGATTCTCCAGCAGCCGGGTCTGAAAGCAGATCCCTTTCCTGTGGAAGGAGGAGAGGCGTGACAGGCTGTGGGAGCGCTCTGTGGCAGGGCTGGCCAGGCAGCTCCCTTGCTGGGGCCGGGGGGGTGGGGTGTGACCCCGAATCAGAAGCAGAGGGGCCTTCTCAGAGCATTTCCCTGGGTGACTGGCCTTGTCTTATCAGGCCGGCCTGCCGCTGGGTGACCGTGGGTGAGTCACTGCACCTCTTCGAGAGCGACTGATGGAAAACGCTAGGTAAGGACTAGGTATCCAATCACCTGGACGGGCAGGCACTCAGGACTCCTTGATCTGGCTGCACGCTCTAGATCTCTTGGATCACTCTGAGAACTTCCTCTGCCCTAGTACCTGCTATGACCTGGGCGGCTTTCAGAGCTCGACCGCACGGCTCATCTCTTGTGATGGTTGGAGATTTGGCTGCCGCTAGGCAAACTCGAGGGGAAGAATTTCCCCTGCGCTGAGACTGGGAGTGAGGGTGGGTTGAGTTAGTGCATGTGAATTAAAACAAGCTTTTCCTGCCCAGCACAAAGCCCGTGAGAAGGGAAGGGTCGTTGTCCCCCTGCCGAGTTTCCAGGTCTGTTTTTCAGACCTGCTGAGCTACTGTCTAGTCTGAGAATCAAGTGACAAGTGGCAGAGAGGGGATTTGAACCCAGATCTCCTGGCACCCATTCCAGACCCTTCACCGCAAGACCATCCTTTTTCTCACCCACCGAGTATTAACTTAATTCCCTGCGTTCAGCTAGAGAGAGCAGAAGCCGAAAAGTTCCTCCGAGGGAGGCTGGGGAAAACAATAGGCTTGTTAAATTGCCATCCCGGTCGCCTGGTTACAGAAAGGCTGTGTTTCACGTGTCGCGCTTGTGGTTCAGGTTATCCTTCTCTCCCATGGTGGATGTGACTTTCCAATTATCCGTCATTTGAGTCCAACGCTCCGCACGTGCTAATGCACCGGCTGCGTGACTGCTCGCGGAGAGCGGCCGACTCCGCTGGAAGCGAGAGCCCAAACCACAAAGCGGCCGCTGCAAAGCAGAGCCACGCTTCGATCAATTTCTTCCGCTGTGCGGAGAGGTGCCCACAGCGAATCAGTCCCTTGTAGGGCTCAGTTCTGGCAAGTTAGCTCTGGTCTCACAGTAAATTTCCAATGGAATTCCAGTGATATTTTTCCCTCCCTTTCTTCAAACAGCTGTTCTCTCACTGTATCCGCTTCATAGCAATGAGGGAGTGCTATCACCCCCCAGTGCTGAACTCCTTGGGGAGGATAACGGCGTGATTTGCTGGTAGATCGCAATGCCACTGAGGCCAAGAGGCGAGGATTGGATACTTTCCTAGCTAATGAATAACATCCGCACATACACATTTCTGTAAAACCCCCATGCTACAGGGCGCGAACCAGACCCTTGCGGGTAGATGTCAGGAAGAAACTTCCCCTCTGGGCAGGTTGTTCCATCAATGTCCACTAGGGGGCGCTCGTGCTCCTTTCCTCTGCAGCAGCTGGTTCTGGTTTCTCTCAGAATGGCTGGCGCCCTGCACTGATTCATTCTGGCAATTCCTAGGTTAGCTGCTGCTGCTCCCATGAGAAATTCCTTTTTTTTAACTCTGGTTGGGTGGTTCTACACTAGGAGCCACCACCTTTTTGTTCCAGATTCACCCCACCATCCCCTTCACATCTGAGTCCTCCAAAAAGTGCTCTAGCAAAACAAGCCCAAGGATGACAAGTCATCCCGTTGCTGTTGTTTCTGAGGTTAAAAAACAAATGAGAGGAAGAGAAAAGCACCTTTTCAGGCCTTTCTTCTTTATACAGCACAAAGTCCCAGATGCAATTTTTCCCCCCTTTGCAGGGGACCTTTAACGAGCACCGTGGTTCGGGCTCCGTTAGCAGCAAACATCACTTGTTGCCTAAGGGTTCTCATGCCAATCTGTGCCCCTTTGATGGCTCGGGCACGGCCAGCTGGATTGGGGCTGACAAATGACCTTACCCATGGATAGGCCTGACTTCTGAGACTTTCACCCGTGAACTTTGCCCTTTCAAGTCCCTCTTTGCAGGCAGGGATCCTCCAGCGCCGAGTTTGAATCTTTGTCTGACTCACAGCCCTAGCTGTGGGAGCCCCTCACATCTCTTGCCAGCTGCCTGTGCCGACGCGCTCTTGGCGTGAGTGCCGGAGGTTGGCAGGACAGGGCAGGGGCTGTGCTTGACGTAGCTCCTGGTGCTGCGCTGGGTGGGTTGGCGACACGGCTTTGAAGGGCTCTGAGACGCTCGCTCTTCGTTACGGCCGCTGCAGCCTTTAGATGCTGATGTTGGGGTAGTCCCCGCTCTCTGCTACGTCTGCAATAAATCGGGAGCGACGACCGGATTCTGCTCCGGGCAGTCAGAGACGAGCACCCGTTCTGCTGGAAACCGGGAGTGTGAAATTACTGGCTTTACACTGAGCTCCAGATCTAGCCTGTTCTTGCTTTCCTCTCTTTGGGTTACTCGCTTCCACCCCCTTCCAAGCGAGGAAGCGTAGTCCAGTGGCAAGGATGCTACGCTGGGTTCAATTCCCTGCCCCACCGCAGAATCCAGGCGTAACCTTGGACAAGTCGTCTCAACGGCGTTGAGGCCCTGAACTCCCCTTGGGCGCTCTGCGCTTGAGTTCCCCGTCCGTGCAGTGGGGGTAGCAGAGGATAAATGCACTCAAAGCTGCGAGGCACTCCCATCTCCCGGTACTGGGGGGTGCTGGGAGGACGACAACTCCATTGGACAACTTTCAGGAGGCTAGCGTTTGTTTTCCTTCCACGGCGCAGTGGTGAACAGTGCTGTGAAATGGGAAGAAGTCAGAACACTTCTTGGGCTGGCCAGGTTTCGGATTCCTCCTCCCCCAGCTGGACGCGACTGGAGGCCCTGCCCCTGGATTGCAAGCATTGCCAGCAGATCGAGGGACGTGATCGTTCCCCTCTATTCGGCACTGGTGAGGCCTCATCTGGAGTATTGTGTCCAGTTTTGGTCCCCCCATTACAGAAAGGATGTGGACAAATTGGAGAGGGTCCAGCGAAGGGCAACGAAAATGATCAGGGGGCTGGAGCACATGACTTACGAGGAGAGGCTGAGGGAACTGGGGTTATTTAGTCTGCAGAAGAGAAGAGTGAGGGGGGATTTGATAGCAGCCTTCAAGTACCTGAAGCGGGGTTCCAAAGAGGATGGATCTAGACTGTTCTCAGTGATAGCAGATGACAGAACAAGGAGCAATGGTCTCAAGTTGCAGTGGGGGAGGTTTAGGTTGAATATTAGGAAAAACTTTTTCACTAGGAGGGTGGTGAAGCACTGAAGTAGGTTACCTAGGGTGATGGAATCTCCTTCCTTAGAGGTTTTTAAGGTCAGGCTTGATAAAGCCCTGGCTGGCATGATTTAGTTGGGGTTGGTCCTGCTTTGAGCAGGGGGTTGGACTAGATGACCTCCTGAGGTCTCTCCCAACCCTTCCCGTGGGACACGTTGTGCCGAACGCTGATTGAAAAGGACAAGGAGATGGTGCTGGAGACGCTGCGTGGCCCTGTGTCTTGCATGTAGCGTGCTCTGCCTGGCCTGACGCGGTTCGTGATCCATGCTGATCCCTCTCTCGGCACTGGTCCTGGTGGGGAAGATGCGTTGCTCCATCTCTCTTGCTCCTGTTCTCTCATTCCTAATGGGTTTCTTCTGTGCTGGGCTGGGTTCTCCAGGGAAAGGGGCTTGCAGGTCAGCTTTCCTCTTGCGTCTGCATTGGTGTCCATGAATGCCACCCGCTGAGGGAAATGGGGCTTAGCTGCTCAGAACAACCCGGCGTCCTTTTCATCTGGAGATCTCCGAGCCTTGCAGAGAAGAGCCAGTGTTACCTGCGTTTCTCAGTTTGGGAAACCGAGGCACGGACTGGCCAGGCACCTTGCCTCAGGTCACTCAGAGAATCCACAATAGATCTGGGGACGCCACCCAGCCCGTCCCAGATCAGTGCTGCATCTGCTGGGCCGCTCTCTCACTTCTCCCGTGGCTCTGACCAATCGCCTGGCTCTCCCCACGTGGGATTTGCGTCCCATCTAGGGATGTGGTGGCTTCTCCGGCACTCGGAGGCTGGGGTGTGTTTCTAACCGACCCGCTGTGGCTCAGCCGCAGGTGAGTGGGCCCAGGGATCCCCAGGGGAGGTTCTCTGGCCTGGGATGATCACAACTGGTCTGGCCTTAAAGTCAGTGACTTTTTAATCCATCCATCTCTGCGCCTACCGCAGCCCCGCTCAGGGTGAGGCCCATCCCACCCACATACATTTCCTGGGGTCACAGAAATGTATTACAGCAGGGCTCAATCCTGCGAGGCGGTTGCTGGGCTCACTTGGGGGCGTTTGGGCCCTGTCTAACGGACCCCCTCCAGGGGATGAAGGAGAGCGGGGAGGGGACTGTGTGCCGAGGGGATAACAGGATGCTCTTTGATCCCCTTCCAGCCGGCGTCTCCTGCTCTGCCGTCATGGCCGTGGCGATCATGTCTGCACTCTTACTGCACAAGCACCGTGAGGTAGGGGGAGGGCCCCGGGCCGGGAAGGAGGGGGAGGGGTCCTGGAGGCAAGTGTGGAAGGGAGCTGCTTGCTTTATGGGGTGGTTTGAGGGGAGGGGGAGCAGGTTGGGGATGACCTGTTGGATGGTGGTTTCAAGGACCCCCATGCTAAAGGAGAGGTGCCTTCTGAATGGCGGTTTTAAGGGACCCCCCCTTTACGGCGTTACCTGCTGAATGGAGGTTTCAGGTCTTCCCATCTCCATTGACGGGGAGGAGGGGGGATTTGTGGTTCTCCTTTTGTGGGGTGAGTCCTTCTACCAGGGGATTTTCCAGCTTGGTGCTAGTTTCAGAGCTTCCTTTCCCTGGAGGGAGTGGATTATTCGTCTCCCTTTCTCTGTTGCCTAGAGGGGGGCGTGTCTTGCTGGCTGGTGGTTTCAAGTCTCCCCCCCCTTTTCTTTCTCTTCCCTCCTCCCACCCCGCCAGGGCGTCTTCCTGTCCCGGCTCATGTCCGACTTCTCCTGGCTGGTGGAGGAGACCCTGCTGCGGAACCGCGACGTGGGCTTCTCAGGGCGGCTGCGTGACTTGGTGCTCCACGCCCTCTCCCTGCTGCGGGGCTGCGTCTCCCTGCACCGCCTCTCGCATGGGGACGTCCTGGTGGCCCCCAGGGAGACAGAGGCGGCCGTGAGGGAGCTGAGCTGGCACAGCACCGCCCTGCTGCCCGTCTTCATGTGCGAGGCCGTGGGGGGTGAGTGACCTGGCCAGGAGCGAGGTTGGCAGGGAGGGGCTGCCCACAGTTCCTGCACCGTGTGTATGGGGTTGAGGGGCAGGTGACCCTGGTGGGGGGACGACTGTCCATGCCCCCCCCCCCGATGTGTATGGGGTTGGGGGGCAGATGATTTGGAGGGGGGGGGCGGGACTGCCCAGGGACTCCCCTGTAGCATGTATGTGGGGTTGCGGGACATGTGACCTGGTAGTGGGGTTCCCCATGGCTCCCCGCACCATGTATATGGGGTTGGGGGGCAGGTGACCTGGGGGGCGGGGCTGCCCATTGACCCCCGCGCTGTGTGTGTGGGGTTGGGGGGCGGGAAGAAGACTAGGCAGTGACGATGCCCCGAGCCCCCCGCAGCCTGCGCCATCAACGCCCTGCTGGTGGAGATGCTGCCCTTCTTGAGCCCTGCCGAGCTGCCCGCGGCCGTCGTGCTGAGCCAAGAGGAGCTGCGCCGCAAGACCCTGGCGCTGCTCCAGCTGCTGCCCAGAGACATCCTCCTGCTCCAGGTAGGGCCCTGCGAGAGGGCCGGGGGGGGGAGGGGGGCTTGCTGCCACTGCCTGGAGCCTGGCTGGGTGGGGGGAGCCGCTTCTGGCTCTGCAGGGCAGCCAGGCTCCATCGCATCGCCCCTCTTGAGGGGTTTCGCCCCCCTTCCGGTGCTCTGATCCCCCACCCCCACTCTGCGTCCCGCTGGGCCCGTCGCCGGTGCTCTGCCGGGGGGACCGTGCTGACTTGTTCGTCTCCTTCCGCAGCCCTGCCAGTCGGTCTCTTGCTACAGCCAGGAGGTGCTGGACAAGCTGATCCAGTGTGGGCTGCTGGTCGCGGAGGAGGTAGGTGAAGGACGCCGGCCGTAATGTCCCTGCTGGCCAGGGCCGAGTCCAGCCCCTGGTTCCGCCACCTGCCTGCCCCGAGCTCCCATGGCACGGTCGCCCGCCTGCAGGGCAATCCTCTGTTCTGGGAAAGGTGACCCCCGGGAGACCAAGTCCTTTGGTTAGCCACAGGGCCCGGTGTCCCCGATCTCTGCTGAACGACGTGCCCCGCCAACGGCCACCCAGTTCGGTCTCCCCGGCCCTGCCCGCCGAGGAGACGGCTGGTTAGCATCTGGGGAGCCATGGATTGAGAACCCACCAGTGGCTGACTCTGAGGGGAAGATGCGTCCTGGTTCCCGGGCTCTGACATGGGGATGGGGTCTGGAGCTGGCACCATCTTGGCAGGAGTGGGGAGCCCCAGGCCTCTTCTCCCCCCCGCACCCCACCCCGGCGTGTATGCCGGGTCAGCTGCGCCCAGAGGATTGCCAGCCCCCAGCCGTTTGGAGTTGCCAGCCCCGAGGGCTCAGGGCAGCCGGTTTCTCCCCTAGGCCCCCAGCGAGCGGCCGGCCTGCGACACCGCCCGGAGGCGCTTCTCGCAGAAACTGCTGTGGAAGGAGATGGAGGACTTCAGCGACAGCGACAGCGACTACGACGAGGACACTGGCAAGCGCTGCTTCAAGGTACTGCCCTGCCCCAGCTCCCCTCGCTGTGCTGGCGGGGATCAGGCTGCCTGGCGCCAGCACCTCCTCCATCAGCTTCCTCCTGGGGGAGCAGGGGGCCCTTTCTCCTGCCTTGTACCGCACCTGAGGGGCCATCCTTCCTACCCGTCTCCAAGGAAATCGCCTGCCCAGATGGTCGTTGCATCTCGCAGCCTGCCCGGGAGGTCTCCCTACTGCAGCTGGGTAAACTGAGGCACAGCTGCGGGGAAGGGACTCTGTGAGTCGATGGTAGAGCCGGGACTAGAACCCAGAAGTTCTGAATCCCAGCCCAGCCCTCCCCTTCCGACCATTAGTCCCATTGCATCTCCCAGAGCTGGGGATAGAACCCAGGAGTCCTGACTCCCAGCTTTACCCCTCTCTGGGCTGTCAGTTCCCTGCTGCTGGGGGAACACGTTCTCCTTTTGGTCTGGCGGCACGTGGGAGGGGATCTGCCGCCCTCCCTCCCCAGCCCCATTGTAAGAGAACATCAAATTATCATATTAATTCCCGCTCCTATTGTTTCCCCCGTGATCGCACGCCGGAGCCCGGGTTCACAACCTGTCTCTTGAAAATGCCAGCTGCGTGGGCCGCTCCTCCAGACGGGAGCAAAGTTCTCTGTAATTCACCGGTGGGCGGGGGGCCTGAGAATGGGGCCCTCTGAACTCGTCTCACTTGTGTACAGGCTGCGGGAGCCTGTTGCCAAGCATCTGGCGCTGCAGCACCATCTTCTGGTCAGCCGGAGGCTCTTTCCCGTGTGTGGATCCAGCGGCTTTCCCGACACAGGGAGGTGTTACTGAAAATGCCAGGCTCGGAGCCAAGGCGAACGGGACCAGGGGCTGCCCCAGTTCAGATCCACCCGGGTGACTCCTGCCCTGGGCTCCCCCCGGAGCCCTACCTCTGCCGTCAGGGGTCAGGTGATGCGGATACCGAGAACAGAACCCCCCAAACAGACAGATGGGGTGGCCCCTGGGGCAAGATTCAGACTAGCCTGAGCTGGGCACATAAGGTAAATAGGGGGTGAGGGTCAACTCTGACCCAAAGCCCTGGGCTCCCCATAAACAGCTCTACCAATGCCCCTTAATCCTGACCTGCCGCCCCCCACTATCCCAGCTCTGGGCTCCCCCATCACTCTGCCAGTGCCCCTCAGTCCTGATCCCAGCCATGGGCTCCCCCGGAGCTCTGCCAGTGCCCCTCAATCCTGCCCCATAGTCCCCTGCTGTGCGTGATGTTGGCAGCTCTCCCCTTGAGAGGAAGTTGAGTCCCCCCCAAACTCATTTCACATGTGACTAGCAGAACCCCATTCCAACGTGGACCATTCAGCACCCCCCCAGGTCCAGCCAGGCTCAACCCATGCATCTCTTCTCCCCCCAGATAAGCCAGCTGGACAACTGCCCTGATTTCTTCCTCTTCCTGTGCGGTCTCCTGGGCCCCCTGCTGAAGACCTTTGAGAGAGCAGCTGCCTTCCTGGTGGAGTCTGGCTGTCCTGAGCTAGGTATGACCCCCCAGTGCATTCACCAGTGTGTGTTTAGCAAAGCCAACGGCCTGAGCTGACCCACTAGGCCTGTAAGATCCAAGGGGAATCTCGCTGCGTGGGGTCAACAAGAGCAGAGACTTGGGACCCATCCCCCTGGGAACATCCTGATGCCCAAGGGCAGTGCTGGCAGGGTGTCAGGTGCAGCTGAAGGGGGGGCTCCCCACAGAACCCCAAACAGCACTGGGCATGTGGAATGTGGTGCCTTAATGGCTGGACTCTTCTAGCCTCGGGATCTGCCACCAGGGAAACCGAGGCACGGAGCAGGGACATGCCTTGCCCTAGGTCACACAGCAGGGCTCAGGACCCACGCCCTTGCTAGGAGAACAGCCGCCACACTAAGATCCTTTGGGGCACATGCTGCTCCAGGGGGCTTCCTGGCTGTGCGCGTTGCATGGAGATGGGGGGTCTGAGCTGGTGGAGAGGGGACGCCGGTGTAAATCAGTGTAGCCCTACTGAGGTGCGAGCTGCCCCAACGTCCCCAAGCTGAGGATCAGCCCCAGAACGGTGCAAGGGCCCCTCCCACGCTCTCTGCTTGCCTCCCCCAGAGTTGGAGTATGTGGAGAAGCTGCAGCGGTTCCTGGTGAGGAAGGCGAGAGAGGACGGCTCCTTTGGTGAGTCTGGGGCAAACCTACTGAGATCCAGCCTCCCTGTGCTGCTGGGGAGATGCTTCTGCGCCCAGTGTCCAACCCCTTCCTCACCAGGGCGCACTCACCCTGCTAGGGAGCCTTCATCCTGGTGCCGGCCTCTTCCTCTGGGGTTCTGTGGCAAATCAGATCAGGAGCCAACTGAGGGTGCTTATCTGCCTGAGCAGGAAGAGCTGGGTGTTGTCTGCCCCCTGCTGGGAGCAGGGGGAACAGCACCAGGAAGTGACAGGCTTCTCTGGGCACTTGTCAAGAAATCGCTCTCCCAGCTTCTCCTGCTGCTAGGATGGAGCTGCTGGTGGGCAAACACTGAGTTGCAGGACCCAGAACAGCACTAAAGGAGGAGGAGGAGGGGGCCCGGGCCAAACAACTGCAGGAGCTGGGTGTGGTGGGAGGGTCCTTGGGGCTGGTACACCATGTGCTGGGCCTGATGTCCTGCCCTGTCTCATTCCAGTGTGTGCAAACAGGAGCCTGGCTCTGAGCTCCGTCCGGACCTTCAAGGAGCTGGGGGTGAGTGTGCCCCACCTCTCTGTACCCTGGTGATCCTGGGGAGGTCAGTTCAGCCCGTCACACCTGTTTAGATGGCAGATGGGCTGCTCTCTCCCTCCCCCAGGGAGACATGCGGTCCTGCCTATAACACCCCCCTCAGCCTGGCCCACCACCTGGCTGGACAGGCAGATGCCCTCTCTCCTTGTGCAGCCCCAACCCCTTCCTGGGTGGAAAGTCAGGGTTCCTCCGTCCCTCTCCTCCCCCAGGTGCTGAGGGAGCAGCCAGGCCCAGCGGGGCCCATTCTCCACCTCTCGGAAACTTTCAGCAGCAAAGGGAACCAGGAGCGACTGGAGAAGTTCATGGGGCAGTTCACCTCCAGCTAGAGCGGCTTGGCAGGGTTGAGGAACTGTCCTGCCACCTGTTTCAAAAACCCCCTTCTCCAGGATCCCCTCGAATGTCTCTGGGCTGGGGGTGGGATCTACCCACAGCAGCACGACCTCTGTTGTTTGAGTTGGAGATCAAAATAAATCTATTCTTGGTGCCGGGGTCTCCAGCTGCTTTTACTGGACAGGTTCATGCCAGCGGTTCCCCCCCCCCCTCTGAAAACCAGCCATGGTGGGCTCACTGTTGCTTCCCTCTCAATGGTACCATGCCAGCTCTCCTTTCCCTGGTGTTACTAGAGAGATCAGTGCAGCAGGGCCCACTGGACTGTCAGAATAGTCTATGCAAATACAGCCCCAGGAGGGGGGAGATTCAGTCTGGGCTTGCACTTTCCCCATCCCACTGAGCAGGGCTGGGAAGTGCATGGATTTGCCTTGCTCTGTGTCTAATCCTAGGGGAGCAGCCCTCTGTGCCCCTTACCCCTTTAACAGCAGCTTGGCACCATGATCCCCCCCCACGCTGGCTGTTTGAATGGATTTCACACCAAGTGTGCTGATGGGTCGGAGCACAGACTGCGCCTTCATGCACCTCAGCTAGCAGGGCTGGCCCTTCAGTGAGAGCTTTATTGCAAAATCCACACGCCGTTGAGTGTCACGATTAGCCGAAGGCCATTAAAGTGCTGCACCTGCCAGTGCCCATGATCAGCTCCCGTGCCCTGGGGACCGCGCTGGTGGGGCATCCTCAAACGACCTTGTTTCGGAGGGCTCCCAGCTGGTCAATTTCACACTGCACCACATCTCCTCTCTACAACGCAGGGGAAGCAGAGTCACATTTCCATTAGGAGCTACACGCTGCCACAACCAGCTAAAGACTGTAGCCGCCCCTTTGCCCCCAGAATCCTTTGAACCAGCCCCTATGGCAGCACCATAGACCAGGGTAGGATGGTTGATGCCTGATCTTTGTTACCTAGTTACAAGCGACTGACCAGCGCTACAGCAGAACCCCGGGGTTAATGTTTCCCCATCTACCCCCCAGCAGATCAGACATGCTCCTAGCCTTGCAGACCAGAACACAGGGTGGGACTGACCCCCTCATGCCTAGAATAGACAAACTGCAACTGCTACACAAAATCCGAGGGGGGGGAGGGGGGAGAAAGAGTGTCTGTCATACTCTGAAACCCTGGGAGCTGGATGAGTCAAATATAAAATAATGGACAGAGTGACTGGAGCCTCCAGCAGCTCCTAAGCCCCCCCCCAGGGATGTTTTGACTGTAACTAAAGGGGCTAAAGCCTGCATTAAAAAAGCAGCCTAAGGGGGATACCCAGTCGCAGTGAGGTGTACCCCCTAGTGGCTGTAGGAGCTCAGACACTTATTCCACAGCCCTAGGAACCCGCTGGCTCAAAACAAGAGGCTGGGCTGTCTCCCTTACTGGAATCTCTGAGCCTGGTGCTGCAATTCCAGCTGCTCAGGCAAGTCCTTGAGTCTGTGCCGAGCGCTCCGGACAGGCACCACAGTCGGCCCCTGTGGCTCCAATGGCAGGAGCGGGGTCCACATGGGACACCAGCTATCTCCTGTCACTGCCCTTCGCTGGGACCCAGCCTACCCCCTGCTGTAGGGAGTCCGGATCGCTAGTAGCAGCTTCAGCTCTCGCTGCGATTCCCCAGAACTGACGCTCACCTTCAGGAACACGGGGGGCTTCCGGAAAACTCCGGTGCCTGGGGGGGTCCCAGTGAGGAAGACGTCTCCTGGGTACACCGTGATGAACCTGCCAGGAACCAGGAACAGCCCATCAGCAGGTCATCCTGGCTCAGCGCCTCCACCACAGCTGGGGATAACGCTGGGCTCCCAGCACGCACCCCATTTGGGCCACGATTGTTCAGACGTGCCCAGATACCTGCCGGGGGCTGTGACTACCCCATGCATAGATCAGCGCTAGGGATTGACCCCAGGCCCTCTGGCTCCCAAAGGGCAGCTGCTGCTAAGGACTAGGGCTAACAATGGGAGGCAGCCATGACCCTGCCGCCGGAGAGGGGCAGAGAACCACACTGGGTTACCACGGCTCCCAGGAACAGAGTCGTTTGCTGCCACCAGGGCAGGGGAGGCACCTACCGGGAGACCCACGCGACCAGCGCCTGCGTTTTGAAGATCATCTGGTTGGTGTTGCTGTCCTGGACGAGCTCCCCGTTCACTTTGCAGCGGATTCCCAGCATGTGAGGGTCTTAGAGAGAGACAGAGCAGTCAGGTCTGCAAAATAACTGGGGAGGATGGGGCTGTTCCCTGTTATGCAGAGGAGGAGGTGGGGATCCAGGAGAGGAAACCTCAGATCACAGGAAGGATCCCAATTTGTATCAAAAGGGCTGCCGTTGCTCATCACTGCACTGCAGCCACCTCTGGGCTGGAACGCAACAGCTGTTTTGACAGCTTGCCGCAAGCCGGAGAGGGCCACAAAGCGAAGGATGCTGGTCCAGTTGTGGCAGCAGGAGGAAATGTAGGGCACAGAAGGTAATTGGAATTGGGCTTGGACACCGGGATTCCTGCTGGGAACAGCATCCTGTGCGCATCAGTGAGCACAGGGGTTGCCCCCTAGCGCCGTGCTCGGGGAACTGGTTCAGTAATAACTGGGGAAGGACACCACGTACTGAGCCACCCACCCCAGTTCTGGCAGCGCCCTGGGATTTAGAGGGCTCCTATGCAAATAGTGAGCAAAGCCGACCACATGTGGCCTGTGAGCTCCCTCGCATACCCAGGGCAGTACGACTGCAGCGATGGAGCAGGTGGGAGGAATCAGGGATGAAGGCAGTTCATGCATCACCCCAGGAGCCTCTGCAGCAGGAGGGCATCTGTGAGGGCAACCCAGCCTTCCCTGTGCCACCACAGCCTGGCAGGCGGGAGAGACCGAAGGGCCAGACCTCTACCTGACACACAGTCCTTGGTGACAATGGCAGGGCCCAAGGGGCAGAAGGTGTCAAAGGATTTCCCCAGGATCCACTGCTTCCCATTCCTCTTCATCTGCCAGTCCCTGGCGGTGACGTCATGGGCAACCATGAATCCCACAATGTGATCCATCGCAGCTGACTCCTGGGCGGGGAGGGAAACAGGAGGGGAGTCGCCACACAGCTGAGCCACTGCTGGAGAGACTACAAACGTGGGGCTGCCCGACTCCTCTGGGCATGATGGTGCAGAATTAACACATGTGCTGCCCTTGACCAAGAGGGACGCCCTCTAGTGGTGAAAAGGGAGCACGCTCAGTTCAATCACCAGCCTGACAGCTGCGCTTGCCAACCAGGGGGCCATTTAGTGCCAGCCGTGGTGGTGGCTTTTGCCGCGTGCCCTGGACTGAAGTCACCAAACAGAAGGCCCCGTTCAGTCGGGGCTAGGTTTGAAGTACCAAGACCTGAAGTGGCTCCACAGTCCGTTCCCAGCTCCCTTAGTACCTTGATGTGCTTCCCTTTCTTCCCGATGACAAATGCCAGCTCCACCTCCCAGTCGACTTCCTAGAGAAGAAACAGGCAAGTCTGATCTCTGCCCCAGTCCAGCAGGGCCCAGAGGCAATCAGGGCTAGGGTACCATGGGGAGAGGCAATTAGAGATGCCCCAGATCACTGTTCCCACAGCTGCGAAACGCCACTGGTGATAGGGCAGGTGGGCAGTACCATCTCAGTGCAGAGACACCCCCCCCTTATGGCCTAGCAACATGGTAGCTCCCCTAAGCAAGCTATTTGGATGCAACTTTCAGGACTGTTGGCGTCTAGGTGGCTTGTTACCCAACACAGCCAGCAGGAGGCACTTGCACAAGTAGCAGCAATTGTCCTTCCTAATTTCTTAGTGGTGGATCTTTGGATTAAACAGCTCTTGAGGCAGCTGGCAGCCAACTCAAATCTGGGCCCACGCTCTACTGACAGCAGCATTCTCCGTGGCCGGAGTGGGCACGCTCGGTTTTTGCTCCCACAGTTCTTTAGCTGGAGCCTTTAATAGACACATCCTCGGGGGCTGGCGTGCAGACGGGTCTTGGCTGAAAGGTCCCCGCAGGCACGACAGGAGAAGCAAGGGGTATTTACTTGGCTGTCGGCTGGGTGGATGATCTCGTCGTAGGGGCCGATGATGGAGCTGGGAAACTTGCTGAAGATGATGGGCTCCTCGGGGATGTTTATGTTCTGCTCCCGGCAGTGGTCTGCGTAGTTCAGCCCCACGCAGATCACCTTCCCCGGGTTGGTTATGGGGGCCAGGAGGGTCACCTGATCACGTGGCAGGATGTGCTGGCTAGACTCCTTAGCCCTAGAGACAGAGGAGGGAAGGGATAGCTGAAAGGGATGCTGAGAGAATGGGGGAGGCTCTTCATTGGGGAAACCAGGGACGGTGGTGTAGTGGTCAAAGCAAGAGACTGGGAGAAGTGGATCCCCTGGGTTCTACTCCCAGTTCTGGCATGGATTTCCTATGTAGCTGCAATTCCTTGCCTCCCTGTGCCTCAGTTTCCCTCCTGTAAAATGGGGCTCACACGTACCTCTTGCATAGACACTGCCTTGAGAATCCTGCACTGAGAATGACCAGTCAGAGCATGGGGCCAGGACTAGGACAATCCCAGCTGTACACTTCCACACCTTTCCTAAACAGCTTCCAAACCCCAGGAGAACAACTGTGCCCCCTAGTGCCCAACGAAGGGCATCTCATCCCTAGCTCTAAAAGCGCTTTACGAGGAAGAGGTTCATTATTTCCTTGTTTTACAGCCGGGAAACTGAGGCATGAGGCGGGGAAATGCCATGCACTGAGTCCATGGCAGAGCTGGGACTAGAACCCAGGGCCATAGGCGCCAACTTTGTGGGTGCACCTGCAGCCCCCTTATCAGTGCCTCCCCACAGCACCTCCTGGGCATGCGGTAGGGGCAAGGGCCTGCAAAGATGCTGAGCAGAGGAGGCAGCATTACTGAGAGAATTTTAACTTCTCTATTCCCTGCTTTCTAGTCAATAAAGCCCAGACCTTCAAAGGTATTTAGGCACTTCACTTTCACTTTCACTCATTGGATGGTAGGTGCCTAAATACCTTTGAGGATCTGGGCTTAACTCTGTAACTCTTAACACTGCGCAGACAGCGAGCCCCAGGCCTCAAGCTGGGTTCATCCACCTCTCGTGCATGGCTCCACTGCCCCCTTTGGTTTTTTGTTAAA